CCCCCCGAGACCTCCCGACGCATCCAGAATTAGGAATAACTTTCTTTTCTCGCAAAATAGAGATATCCCAGAAAATTGACAGTGACAAGATGATTCACAGGCTACAACATATTCAACACCCGTGTTAAATTCATCTGCTCCCGGAGCTGTGGCCATTAGAGAGGTGACCTGCATGGGTGACATTTAAGGTAAACTATTTAATTTCAGCCGGTGATTTCATCGCAAACCCTTTCCAAAGGGGGATGAGGAGAGGAAAAGGGATTAAAACAACAACAACAACGACAAAACCACCAAGAAAACAAAACGATGCTCAGTGCTGAGATACGCTGCAGGCACCCGAGCCGTACCTGCGCCGCCCGCACAAACGGGGCAGATTTTAGCGCATTTCCTACGGGGTGAGAACGAGCTGCCACCGGCGCTCGGAGAAAGCGGCTGAGGGGCTGTGGACTTAAAAACCTCTCCGAACGTTTCTTTTTTTAGGAGAAAAGGGACTGAGTGCCGATGACGGGGAGGCAGCCCTCGCTCCGCTCGGGTGGCACCGCACCGCGGACGCAGCGCCGTTGCGGGGCCGCAGCGCTTTCTCCTCCCGGAGGTGCGCGGTCGTTGCCGGTGGCCAAACCCAGAAGCCGGCCCCGGCGCCCGGCTCTGCTTTGTCTCTGCGAAACGTTACGGGACAGCCCCGTGCCCTCGGCCTGACCCCCGGTGATGGCTCTTCAGATAGAAATAAATAAAGCGACAAACAAACAAGCGAATAAATAAAACAAACCCCATCCCGACTGACTGCCTCCGACCCCGTTTGTCCTTCCCATCCGCCCCCACTTCATCCCCGCTAAATAAATCCTCCCCTTCACCCCCAAACCCCAGCGCCGGGACTCGGAGCGCAGAGCGGAGCGGTGCCGTTCGGCACCCGGGGCTGCGGCTGAGTACAAAGAGCACAATGAGAGCAGGGCCCGGGCGTGGGGAGCCGGGCGTGGGGCTGCAATTGTAATTAAACTGCGAAGAGAAATGGACGCCGAGATTGGTCTTGACACTAATTACCAGCCAGAAAGACATTTATGCAAATTTACCAGAAGCCTCAACTTCTGCGGGGCTGAAATGGAGGGGGAAGAAGGAGAGAGAGACAAAAAATTACCTTCTCTAATTCCAACAGATGAAACCTTAATACTTGTATGGCTTGGATCATCTGCAAAGACACAAACAGCACGTTTATCCCCCTCCGGGTGGGGCCACTCTTACCCCCCACCCCCCCCCCTCCCCTGCCCCGCTTCGCTTTGGTGGTAAATAAAAACTTGTTTTGATTTATGGCGATGCCACTAAAAGTTAATAGCGGGGGCTTTGTGCCCTGCTTAACGAGAAGCGACCTGGAGTTCACCGAAAAATAAAAGCAACGGAGCGACGGGATTATGCGCATCGTAAACATCGCTTTTTGCAAAAAGGAAATAAAAAAAATAAGTCCCCCTAAACACGGGCGCTTTGGGAAAGCGGGAGGAAGAGTCCTCTCAAAATAGTTCTGCATCCGTGAGGGGGGAAATGGAAAGCGGGGCAATGGGAACGCAGTGTCGGTGTGGCGGTGGCTGTGGGCAGGGAGAGGGGACCCCCCCCGCGACACAGCGCCGGGATGGGCCCGGTAACAACGCTGCTAAAAGCGAAGGGCTACAGATCCACGTGAGAGGGTTTCGCTTTGGCACCGCGCGGCGCTTGTCACAGCCCGTAAGGAGAAGGCATAGAAGTTCCCAAAAAAAAAA